AGAAGATTGCGAGCATTTATAACCTCTGTCTCTGCCTTATTGATAATATGGAAGCGGTCAATCAAATTCCTTGAATAGCAAGGAGGAACAGGCCAGGTTTGTCCGAAACCAAGTTGGCGAGCAAAAAATTGGGGAGCATATATTTCTACCCCTACCTTGGCATTGGTCCCAGTTAAAATATCATGAAATAACTCCCTCCCAGTTAAAAACTGGATCCAAATGAGCAGAGAGGTGCTCGCGCTGTCTATAGTGGAGGGAGGATGCACATAGTTTGGAGTCAAAAAGGGAGGAAAATGAAAGAAGGAAGGGATTGAATCCAAAGAATAGAAGAATGAAAAAATGTCCCTTCTAGACATATTTACAGGAGCCAAGGGCTCAATGGCTAGCCCATAGCAGCTAGCAGAAGAACGAGAAATTGTGGAGCACCAAACAATGAAAAATAGGATCTCAACCACATTTGAGTGAACCAGAGAGGTCCACTACCAGTGGGAGATGCACCATTCTTTAATTGAGTTTGAAGAGAAGACATGCCTCTATAAAGGGCAGCCAAAAAGAATGAACATAAATTCAAAGGCCTGTCACGTGCCAATTCGTGCGCTATGGGTAAATAACTCAGGGAGGGTTTTATGCTTGGCACACACAAAACATATTTACAAAGCCGAACCAGAAGAAAGGCCACTCGCTCAGTATGGGAAGGCTCAGTGCTCGAATGGTTATGAAGGGTTTGCAGGCTTGAATAAGACTCGGTAAGGTTTCTACCAAACTTTGGGGCACCACCAGAAACCAAGATACCAGGAAAAATGGTATCGCCCAAAGGTGGCAGATTCACTAGGGCCCCAACATCCCTTAAAGTAATAGACATAGGGCCAAGAGGGAAAATAAAGGTATTATACTCAGAAGACCAAAAACTCAAAGCGATCGAAAAAAGTGCTGAGTCAAAAGTAGGGGGTTGAAGAGAGATTTCTAACAAATCAGGAATTCTAGCATTATCAAAAAGTGCCTTAGTGGGACCATGGTCCACAAGGCGAGCATGCCACCTACGGAAAACTTTATTAGATTTAGGCCAAGTGAGAATACCTCTTTCGCGAAGTGGCCCTAGCGGCAGAGAGTTTAGAAATGGAGGGCCTTGAGTACAAGGAAACAGCTGGCCTACCGCCGCCTGTTCGACTGCATTGTTGAAGAAAGGACCTAGGTAGAACTCATTGAGTTCGATATTGGCAGGCGTTAGAAAGTTCGGAATTATGTATGGACGACTCAGAAGTTTCTGAAAGTCTTCAAAACTAAAGGAGTCGCCAAATTGAGATTGTGAAGAAGCCATTAGGGATGAAACGGAGTTTTTTCAGAGTTACGTAGTAGGGAAGCAAAAAGATGAACAGTAAATCGTGGGAGAGAAACGCGAAAAAGTGAGGCGTGATTTAATGGTGCAGTGAAATGGCGTGTTTGGGGGTTATAAGGGTTTGCAAAACGGCGTACCTTTTCAAGCTATGGAAGAAAACAATGATTGAAATTCTTGGAAATTTCGAATGTTACTGGAAACACAAAGTGAATATGGCAAAATTTAATAATTGGTATTAATCCTGCCATATTGGGGGTTAATTGTTGACACTTAAAAATTCAACCCAAATCGAACGACCCGAGGAATGAAGCTCAATTGGAGGATATCCAAATCAGATAGCCCAAAGAACGAAGCCCAATCAGACAATTCAAGATGAAGGCCCAAATAGGGAGGCTCAGGAACGTGGTAACACCATCGCCCAAGTTTGCAAGTCGCCCAGAATCTGAGCGAATGGAGTGCCATGTAGTCGCCCAGAGCTGTTACTCTATTCTCGCCCAAACCTTCGAGTCGCCCAAGGTTTTAGCAAACATGAAGTGTTGTGGTTATCAAGAAGTGCAGTTATCAAAGCAGTTATTAAAGCAGCCCTATCACGTTCCACGATTCAAGGAACTTAATTGAAGACGGTTGAACGACAAAGAGTAATGGCAGCAATTAGAAAAGGTAGTTCCATGACAAGTTGGCCATTACGAGGAAAGTGGTCAGTTATAGAACGATCCAACAGTTTTTAGACGGTTGATCACAAAGAGATCATCCAGGGAGTGTAAAAGGAAGGAAGGACATAGAGCAAGGGGACCGAATCAAAAACTCTCGAATAGAGAACATGTAATTTTAAATTCCTTAACTTAGATTTAAACACTTCTTTCAGTAACTCATGTGCTTGCGCCCCTTGGAGGCATTCTATTTTTATTTTCAATTGTAAAGTTATCGCCAATAAAGAACACCCCTTTTTGGGACTTTGTTTCAAGAGATTTATCCCTTACACAATCGTCTGATCCCTTTTAATTGTTAGCGACTAACCTGCGCGAAACATTTTCATGAATAAATTTTTTAGTGTCCTAAGTATTATAAATCAATGAATATTTGGTGATCAAATTATTGTTATCCAATTGAATCAATGAGTGTTTGAGTGTTAATCGCATTTTGTTGCATTAGTTTGGTATCAAAGTTCAGTTATATCCTACAGTTCTTGACATTGTGATGGAGTATGTAATACGATGCGATGAGTTAGCACATTTACGTCAATAAGTCTCACTGGTATTGCAGCTGGTAAAAATGAAACAATTGCGTCGACAGGTTAAGGTGTTGATTGAGCTGATAAATTGGCTATTGAGGTGGCATGAAGATGCAGCGACTATGGAATTAACAATGGAAGATGACTTTGAGAACAAAATATCCATTTTGTCTTCTTCAATTCTAAGGACGAAATGAATTTTGATTTATACGAGAATTTCGATGGCCTGCCTAATTTCGATGTAGAAGTTAATGAACATGTATTGGAGAAGTAGGTGGAGTAGGAGACAATGGCTATATATGACAGATGGCGCACAAAGCAAAACCTCGTAAAATGATAAGGGTGCTATTGTAGCAGCAGGAAATAGTAAGGTTATTTGGGTAAATATGCAAGAGAAGCAAATGGCTAATTATAGATAACTAAATACAATTACCTCGAATTTTACTGATTTGGGGAAAGACAATTTTGGTACGTATGAAGTTGGATGTTAAGTGGAGCAAGTAGCTCGTTCACTCGGCTCGAGTCTAGGGCAAGTCGCGGGCATGAGTTGAGCACCAAATTTCTCGTTCTAGTTATTTTGTCATAACGAGTAAAAAATGTAATTTCAATGAAAAAATTGACAAGCTGGCAAATGGTGAGTTCATGGGACGAGTTGAATCACATTTTGATTACGCTAGCTAACTCGTTTGGTGAATTGAGCCAAGCCGGCACAAGTCGAGTGGTTCGGTTTGACCCATTTAACACCTATACTCTAAGGTGACGTTACCAATACGGGATCATCATCATTGCACGACCAAACATGGAGTGGTGATGCTATTGCTTTTGATATTGGTAAAGTGTAAAGTATTTTGTAATTTATATTGGCAGAATGATTTTAAAAAGAAATTATATAGTATTTCTATTTTTTGAATAAAAAATTTACTCGTAAAATGTTCTAATTATTAATTTGTATTTATTTAAAATTTAAAAAGTATAATAGTAGTGAATACTAAATATTCTGATTCCTTCGTACTGTCAAAATTTCGTTCGTTTGAGTAGAAATGTCAATTTTACCTTTTAGAAGAAATCAACATAAAAATATTATGAAATCCTTTCGATGTAATTTAAATAGTTAAAAGGTTACCTATTTTGATTTTAACTTCGATGAAAAGAGACAATGTCATAGAGATAGAGGCCAAGGCTAAGGGTAAAATAGGTTTGAACTTCCTTTAAGAGGGTAAGGGTGAAATAAAAAAGAGAGACCATCCATAACGCACAAAAAGTAAATTGTAATACGTTAATGCAAAATAACTAAGCTTTAAAGTGAAGGCAAAAGCTCCGAAGAACTTTAAAAATCAAACTACAACTACGTATTTTTAGCTTCTATTTTCTACCACCACACAATAAGGCTAAAGTATTACAAGGCGGAAGTGCATGTTTTGCAAACAATATTAGATTGTACTGGGTAATACAATATAGATTTTGAACTTCTTTTTCAATACTATCTAGTCCTAACTAATATAAATTACCAAATTGCCAAAAAAGTCGTCTTCACTTGAGGACAAGCAAGGTGCTTCACTGTCTTCTATGTCCATATAACAAATAAACAATTCCTTACTGAACCAAAAAGTTGTCCTTGGCTCGACAGATGGCGTCCAAGGCTTCTTCGCCACTAACTGATTCAGGAATATTTAGCGACTGTCGAATCTCCCTAATTGAAGTGCGAAGGAACGGATTACACAACTTCTCCTGCTTTAACGTCGTAGGGATCTAAGGCAAGTCAATGACATATGGTTAACAAATAAATTTTCCACAAAAGCGATGGAGTACAATTACCCCAAAGAAAGAAAGCAAAAATAAAAATAATAAAAATGAAGAAGATGTTATAACTTAAAATGCGATGAATCCATATCATTTTCATTTGTAACCTATAAACAAGTGTTACTATCATGGCAAGAAGCTCCATATTTCATGAAGTTTATTTTACTAAAGCAGGGATGCATATTCATAACGAGGCCTGGACAAAGTCTTGGGGGACTTTTATGGCTTGTTCTGCTTAGTTTTACAATCAATATTCTTACTGGTTAATCTTGAAAATAAGTGACTTAGTTTGATACTAATGTAAGCTTTAATTTGAAATTAAGAAAAGAATTAACCTATATCCAGACACGTTTGAAAATAAAATGTAACCAAAAAGTAGTTTTTTTTAAGCTTAGCCAATTATGGCCATGTGAATCAATCATGAAACATTTTTAGTATGAACCTTGAGGTGATATATATGCAGACATTTTCATCACAGGAGCAGCAGTATGGTTAACACTTGCAGGCAATATTTCACCTATAAACATCCAGGGAGAAAGTCGAAGAGCCATAGAAAATACCGTTGGCAATCCCTTGTTTCTGAGATGTGCTACATGGGCAGCATAAGATTGTAGTTTTTCATTTCCCGGTTCTATAGATAGTGCAAACTTCGAATTACTCTGAACAAAAATGTAACGCAGTTAGCCTACATGAAGCTTTTAGCTTGAAGACAAAATAAATAGAAAGTAAAAAAAAAATAACAGTGAAATTTCAACCTGGCTTACCAATGTATATTCGTGACCACAATATATTTTTGTATCCTCAGGCAGCAACCTAATCTTACTCAGGGAAGAAAACATCTGGTATAAAAATTGGATTAACATCATGACTTTTAGATCAAATCCTTTTCTTGGGGTTCATTTTTATTTATACATTTTTGTAGCATGAGTGTTAACCATTGAGCATATCTTTCCACAAACTCGATAGCTTATAAAAGAAATAACATCAGTATACTAAATGTCCTAATCACCTGCTCAGAAGTTCCCTGCAAGAGCTTGCCACATGATAAGCTGAACAAAGTGTCTCCTGTGAAAATTGACTTTGATCCAGGGAAGTAGAAACTAATATGTCCTGCTCGATTTGGAAAACATCAAAGATTTAGGCATCAAGGTAGAATCAACTGAGAAAAATATCAGAACAAGGCTACTTCATCAAAATCATTTGGAAAATGTATATATGACAATCTTCTTTAGAATTACTTTAACTTGCTCATCTATCAAAATTAGTTCTGGGAAAGCATTAAGTTGCTTCACTTAAAAGCAGAAACTTTTACATAAACAACCACTCAAAACAACCAAAATTTCTCAGTGAAAGGGCAAATTACTGTAGAAATTCATACTAAAATATTAATATCCACACAACTCAACTCTCTCGCTCTCTCTCTCTCTCTCTCGTCGGCTTTTTAAGTGATGTGATTTTTGTCCATGCTCGAGTCTGTTTACTGTCAAGTTTCTTTCTTTCTTTTTTTTTTTTTTTGGGCAATGCACGGAAATGTCCAGGTCTAGATATGACATATCCATACAGGCAAACCATGCCTATGCAGTACTCTCTAGACAGATTGTGTGTCACGTCGGTATGCCCAGCTCTTGCTACAAAATATTATTTTTTCCTTTCTGAAATCTAATAAATTCCCATCTATTAGATGGTTGTGGGATGGAATTGGAAAGAATGCTACTTCCTAAAACCCCTAATTCTGCAGAAGAGTCTATTCCAAACCAGTTAGGTCCACTTGATCCCAAACCCACTTACACTCTGATTGATCACAAGTCAAACAATCACAAGCAGAGCGAGATGCTATTTGCTTTTATTGCTGGTTTGTAATTGCCTATATCTGGTCCAAGAATCATGGAAGAATATTTCTAATTTCCACTTAAACATGCTTAAGAAATCTGGGATGGAAGAGAATTTGAATGATTCTAAAGTTCAAGCGGAAGAATATTGAAGTAGTTTGAATGATTCTAAAGTTCAAGCGGAAGAATATTGAAGTAGACATGTATGGATATCTTATGCACATCTAAAAATCCAATTCAAAAAATTGAAGCATAATCCTGCGTTGACCACATTTACTTCACAAATATGCAACAGGTAATTTGAGACTGAACTGGCAAAACAATTACAGGAAGTGAACTGGTTTCCAATAATTACAGTGAAATTGAAGTTAAAGTCAATGCTCTATTTCCATGATTTCAAATTAAGAAGAAACATATTATTAAGATTATAGACAAAACCTCTGGTATGACCGGGAGTTGCCGTCACGAGCACTTCATGGCTTGCAAACATCCATTTATCCCCATCATTCAAAGCAATATCAATCCCAGGGATACTCTCCTTGTCGAAACTTGATCCAATGACCTACAAGAATGTATACAAGGTTGTAGAACGGTCTAAAAATTACAATTTGGGAAATGTGATAGTCACTGAATATGAATATGCACTCTCTCATTTAAACATTGATTACAAATTTACAATGACAATCTTAATTCCTATTATAAAGCGAAACGCAGCTTTATAAGTATAACCTGAAGTAATAAAATACCGACTATCCATTGCCTTTTTGATGTGGAAGGGAAGAGACATCAGGTCCCCGATGAGTCACCCCTATCTATCTCTTGATCAGAACTCAACTAGATAATATGGCCCCTCAGGAAAACATTTTAAAGGTGAATTCTTCCATTACCCATCCTCCAAATAAATTTCCCAGCTTCAAAATTTATATACCATTGATGCATCTTAACACGAGGAGGCTAATAGAAAAAATATGTGAGGATATTTTTAGACACCTCTAAAGAGACATTTTAATCATGCATTTTCTGATGGCAAGCTCAAGTCATCAAGTCCACAACAATTCCACATTCCGTAGTTTCTCACCAATCCGATGCTTAATTGCTTGCTAATGATAAGATAATGAGATTGATTATTTGCATCTAATAGACTTAACTGGGAAAACTAACGGCAGTTAGTCACATCCTATTTAGCCTCATTAAAAGTCTCAAGTCCCCACACTTCATCCCCAAAGAATATACTCTTTAGATACAAGTTACCCTCTACATGTGACAGCTGCCTCACTTCTCTGTGGCTGGATTTAGTGAAGTTGTCTCTAGAATACAACATTCAGTCTACTTATCAAATCAATTCAACAGAATAAATCAAATATCTATCTATTATATCCTTCTCAAGTTTCACAACCTACAAAGACATTCATGAATTGCAAAGATAATACAACCTGCACTACATTTTTTCAAAAAGATTTCCCCTGAAAAGTTGTAATAGGCATTGTCTTCAAAGTCATTAACATGTGTACAAATGGTTACGTGCATGCATTTTTGTCTGGGTTCACATGCGCAGAAGGGCCAGATACTACAAAAGGTAAAATTACCATACCTTTGCACCATACCTTTCTTTTAATTCCATGTTGCCATCTGTGTGATCATGATGATGATGAGTGTTCAGTATGTAATTCAAATTCCATTTTCTTCGATCCAACACATCTATAACAGGTGCAGCTTCAGAAGGATCAACCAGTCCAACTGTTCCAGTATCCTCGTCGTGTAATATATATACATAGTTGTCTCTAAGGCAAGGTACCTACAGCAAATAAAAAGACAAGATAAGCATAATTGTGCTAGTTTTTCTAACTAAGCATGCACGTATCTATCGTGACAGTAAACAACATGCAAGAGGCCTATGGAGATTGACTAAGAGAAGAAACAGATATGCCTAACGTCTCCCAGCTGCTGCACAGAATTATGCTCAGCATGATAAAGCATCCAATGAAAAATCAATTCCTCAGTTACCTTTATCCAAACTACTTAAAAAGACGCCATTCAAATAGCGTCTTTCCAGCATTGAGCCTAATAATGCAAATTATCACATCCACAACTTCAAAATTCTCCCCTAGCATTTGGACTTTTCCAGTTCTAAAACCTTAACCTGTCAACCATAAAGTTCTCATTCATCAGAGTCTACAACTTTAGTAGTTCTTTTCCCCAGTCTCTCATTTGTTTCTCTTTTGTCATCATTTCTCTTGTTGTGTTATTGCCATTGAATAATATGTAGTTCCCAAACCAGAAGTTAATAATTGATTAGGCAAACTGAACTAGATAACCAAGTGACTACAATTCAACTCCAGCAATTCTACAATCTGACGGTCAGGAATCTATATGTTGAATGTTCATGTTTCACTTATATAAGCATTTACACAATGTTCTGTAACTAAACTCAATAAACAAAAACACAGAAAAGTTATTAAATTGGAACTTGATAGTTTTGCTCAGCTACAAAATTATAACTCCATTCCACGGGCGACGATATTTTTTACCCCTATGCCATTCCTCCCAAACTCAACATCTAGATCTCTAAATACTCAGAAGCTTTAAAGTTTACAAGTGCTTTTCACAAATTAATGGTTTCATTTCAAATAAGAGTGTGCTGTTTTTTCTTAGACACAATACAGCAGTGTTTACTGAACTATATAAGTAATATTGACACAAAAAGTAGTACGTGCTTTCACATGACACTATCTACTATTCGAACTCCCTGCTTTCTCTAAAAGAACAGTTATTATAGGATTATTGACAAAGTTTCATAAGAAAGAAGAAAAGTTAAGCATATAATCAAGAGGAAGTAACACGGATATCCATATAGTCTAACTGTGGTTGACCTGTATAATTATCATTTCTCCATTTTGGTTGACCTAGGATTCTCTCAACCATCAAAGAAGATATTTTAAACCACTCGGATGTTATATAACCCAACACATATGAAAAATCAAGGGAATATATTTATTAAATTAAACTTTGCGTTTATTCAATATTGTTGGAACTTAAGATAATGACTCACCAATTCACTGTGTAAACTAGATGACATTGGGGATGATATAACAGCACGAAACTCATCATTGGACACAATAGGTGGTTTTTTTTCCCCATGCCCGTTGTCTCTCAACTCAACATCTATCCCTCTAGTTAGTCAGAAGCATCAAATTTTAGCCATAACCATTCTTGGCAAATTAGAGGTTAAACGAGCGTGACAAAGTGAAGGGAACACAGTTAACTCAATGTTCACATTAGTGTTTACAGGATTATATCTGAAAAATCGATACAAATAGTAATGTGTCTTAACCTAGCACTAAGTACTATTCAAACTGCACGTCTGCATCAATCCTTTCTCTAGAAGAACAATCATAATATCATCCCAAGAACAAAATTAATGACAAAGTATCAAAAGAAAGAAGGAAAAGCTAAGAATTCATCATACCTCAAAAAGGGTCATTGATATCTATATAATCTGTGAGCAACTTATATAAATATATTTCTCAACGTTGGTTGACCAGGGAATGTATCATCTGCCATAAGAATACATGTTGACACAATCTGATGTTGTCTTAGGATTACGTCTTCCCAAAACCCCACATATATGAGAATTCAAGGGAGTAGAATTTATTAACTTGATATTTGCATTTGCTCAAGAGTGTTGGAACTTTGAGATTATGACTCACCAATTCAATGTGCAAACGGGATGACATGTTGGTGATGCTGCAACAACGTGAAACTCTTCTAAGACATCGACTAACACCCCTCATGGTCCGGTATGGAATAGGCAAAAACCTTATGAACTCGAACAAAAGGTTCTTTCTTAGGCAAAGCTGTCTCATCTCTGGCCATATACACAGCTCCGACCCCTTCCAAAACAAAATGATAATAAAAATGCTGAATGGAAATTAAAAGAACCCATCATCTATAAAATATTCAGGGGAAAAAAAAAAGGGAAGCAATCTTTACGCCAAAACACAAACTAGAAACTCCAATTTCCATTAAATTCATGTATTAATTAAGCAAGCAAAAGTTTAAACACTTACAACAGGATTAAGGAAATATCAAATTATCCACAGTAATATTGTTACAAATAAACATTATAAAAATCTGTATTTTTAAATATTTAAGGATTAGATGAAGGAAAATTCAACAAACCTTGAAACTTATAGTTTCGTTTTTTTATTTTTTGAAGAGTTGAAACTAATAGTTTTTTAAATTGCGAACTAAAACAATCTATTAGCAAAAGTGCAAAAACCTAATAATAAAAAGATATTATTAAAATGTGATGCCGTATGAAATTAGCAATAAATTGGCGTATCAAAAAGAGTAATGAATAATGTGACAATTGAAAGAAGAAGAAGAAGACAAATCTCATTACAAGTAAACCATATTGAATGATAATGACGAGTCCAAATTCAATCACAGTCCAAATTAAAATCCAATTCTACTAAACCTCAATTAAATGAATACAGATTCATGATAGAAGATCCTGATCGTGCCAATCATTTTCCATGCATTAAAATTAGAATATTAGACGCCATAAATGTGCATAAATATGAAATATTTTTTCGTACGCACAGTTATGTATATCACAATACATCTATACGTATAGAAAAGAGAGAGAACGGATAGAAGGAAAGAGAAACCGTTGAACGAGGGTGGGAGGCCATGGCAGCTGGTCTGGCTTAACAGAAGATCATTTGAATCTTTTCTTCATTTCATTAGCTTTTCTTTCTTCCTTCTAGAGACTTGACAGAGAGAATCGTAGAGGAATGTTACCATGATCGATTTTATGAAAAGATAAAATTTTGGTTGAGGTCCCTAATCATTACAACTATTGTTTTTTCAAGATTTTTTATTTTTATTTTTTACGGGAACCCGCAACCGCTACCATTTGGATGCGCACTAAATAAACCTTCGGACTTACGCAATAGTTTGCAAACCACGGCAGCCAAGTAAACCGCACTAAATAAGTTCTGTGCGACAGGCTCGACCGAGAAAATATTGGTAAGGAGAATCGAATTCGTAACTAAAGATTTCCGCGCTCGCCTACTTCACCAATTCAGCCACTCCATGAAAGGCATTTTTTCAAGATTTATTTGTTGGTAGTATTGCCTCCAATATTTTATTTTCTGGATTGTGTGATTCTTAATCATGATTTTCATAGGGGTGGCAACGGAGCCCGCCCCGTCCCGCTGAGTATTTTTTAGCCTTGAATCTGCCCTGTTACCAGTTTTAGGTGGGACAGGATGAGTGTCTGCTTAATTTTTTTTTCCAAATTTTGATAATTCATTTTATTATCTCCATTCCTTAAAATGAGACAATAATAAAGTTATTAATTTTTTAAGTAACTTATTTATTCTTAAAAGTTAAATTATTCAAATATATTTAATAAATTAAGGTAATTTTAGTTGCCATCTTCTAATAGAATTAATGAAATTTCGTGGAATTTTTCATTTAAAGTATTGAATTCTTAAAAATAAATAAATAAATGAACTGTGCGATGGTTGGCGAGGCCTCTGTTACCCGTACCTGCCCAAGGTGGAATCCCCCGCCCCCTATTGAGTATGACGAGTGTTTTTGTCATTCCTAAATTTTCATTTCAAAGTTCTATTAAGTTTCTTGTTATCTCCCATGGTGAAATAGGTGAGAGTACTCATGTTCATCCACTGCTTAACAAGAATGGATTAATTTGAAGTGTTGTGAAATTTGAAAAATAGAACATTTCATTATAGCTAATAAAAGTTACATGAGCAAGTGATCAATGATTGCGACAAAGCATTACAACTCGATTGCACTCTCCTCCAAGCCTACATTTTCAAAGAAATTTTTGAATTACTATCATCTAATAAATTGAAGAATTCTAAATTAAGAAAACAAATTTAATTTGGTAACATTTGTCATAGGTCTAACATGGCGCAATACTAGGAAACAAGAAATCAATAACGACATTCTTCACAACATGCATCACTAAACCAAGATTAGTGCATTTTATGGATATTGATTCACGTAATACACACGTTGAATTTTTGTAATAAACATGGATAGGACAATACTCTATAAAATATCCAAAAGTAACAATACTGAAGAAACATTTTCGTAGTTTCGCTACATAATTGTGTGTGTTGTAAAACATTAGTAATTCAACATTTTGTTATAGCCAATAAAGTCGTACAAATACTTGATGAAGGATTGCCACAAAGAATTTCAACTCGATTGTATACTCTTAGGAGCCCACATTTTCGAAGTTAGTTTTTTAATTATCAAACATGCTATATAAACAGGCTTGGAGACAGATTCAAAATCAGGGGAGACACGTATCAATTCAAGATTGGAAAGTTTAAAAAAAAATAATAATAACACCAAATTATTAATTCACACATCAATCTGTTTTCTGTAGTTCTGTTTTATGAGCCTGTTCAAGAGGAATTATTGTTTTAAGTATAGATAGACATATTTTAACAAATTGGCAGCATTTTGTTTGCATGGTTCCCAAACCATATGGAATTTGAAAATAAAACATTAATAGTACGCGTTATAATTAATCCGAAAAATTGCAATTGTAAATATATGCTTAGCACAACATAAGATCAAGTTGTTACACTTTTGTAGCATTACTTGATCATGTCCTTGTCCAACTTGAGTTGACCATGAAAAAAATGCTTGATTTTGTGAACAAATAATTATTTGTTTATATCGATGAATCAATAGGTCTATTAGAGAATTCAAAATTAAAAATACAAATTAAATTTGGTAACATTTCTCGTAGGCCTTACATGAATAAAGACTAGAAAAGAAGTAATAGAGAACTCAAAAATCCTTCACAACATGCGTAAGTAAACTATGATTAATGCATTTTATGGTTAATGATTCAAATAATACACACATTGAATTTGTAAAAAAGTTAATATTCTTTAACATATAGTAATAATGATGAAGAAACTTTTTTGTGGCCTAGCTAATTATTTGTGTAAATTGTCATTTTTTTTTTAAAAATCAAAGATCACTAGTGATATTACTTCATATAATAAAAATGAAAAGATAGGTAAAGGAGGGAACATAGACCTAACATCCAACAAATAATAAAGTGCAAAATGATATCAAAGTAAATGATAATAGTAAATATAATGAATGTATGAAACGACTCAAGGGTACTCTTCAGGGTATGTTCTCTTGTAATATATAGAACATATTATGGTTCTAGTTTGAAACATGTCATAATCATAGAAATTTGATCATATATTACTCACTGGTGAAAGGTTTTGTTTGGGAAATGGGGCCCATCTAGTGGAAAGGGCCGTCCGAGCGATGGTCCACTGAATGTTAGTTAGAATGCAGGTGCATCTGATCTCATCATACTCATATTTACATCATCTAATGCACACTTAATCGATGAATCTGGTCCACTGAATGCCGGTCGGAATGCAAGTGCATTTGATCTCATTATACTCGTATTTACATCATATTTGTCACCGGTATAGTAATAATACGTATGATCTGTGTTACAAAAGGAACTACAATAAGAGTAGTGAAGACCATAAGAGGAACATCAAAGATTAGTACCCATTGCTTCCTCGACTCAAAAAATGTCACCTTACTTTTACCCTTATCAATTCTAGTAGGAGTGGTCTCAATAGGAGGAGGATTCCCGAATTACACTAATTTGAGGAGTGGCCCCAATGTCTATGACGAAAGCATAATAATGGCCTCTTCTCATAAATGATTGACTGCCAGAAACCACGATTATTATCGCATTCAATACAAACCCTGTTAGGCAAGATTCATGCTCCAAATTCACCTTGACACTTGATTGTCTCAAATAGGAGGTAGCCTCATCAATCCTCTATGGTATTTCTATAAACTACATATTCAAAGGTAAATTTTTAAATAACTGTAATCTTTTTGTAAATTGACTGTACCTTGTTTGCATAGATACATTGGAATTTAGAAAGAAGATTAAATTCAATATTAAGCGTTGCCAATAGTTCAAGTTACAATAGCAAATGTATGCTTGGAAGGGTATAGAATCGAGCTGCATCACCTTCTAGCATTCCTTGATCACTTGCTTGTTCTAGTCAAGTTGACTACGGAAAAATACTTGATACGCAAACTTCACAGCACGTACAAAATTATTTATCTACCTAACCCAATCAACAGGTTCACTGAAGAATTCAGAACTACCAATAAAAATTAAGTACGGTAACATCAGGCAAAGTTGTTGCATGAATTGACAGGATCAAAGTCTCAGTTGTTAAAGCTATCTATAGTTTTGGATGTGAAGAAGGAATCTCTGCAAGCTACAAAAAAGATGAGTTAATATTGCCAAACTGAGAATAAGTTAAACAAACGAAAAGGGCCACTGTAGTTGTGAATTTCTCAGGAAAAAAAAAATGTTCAATCAACAAAGACAAAGCAAATCTTCAACTTCCCTTATAATGCCACTTCGCATCAATAAAGCCTACTCTATATACCTCAAACCAATATAAGTGAAGTTATGTACATCAGTTTTAATTTATGAGCTCCTTTCAACCATTTGGCGATTGAAAGAGAAATATGAAAATATGATTTCTAGATATCATTTTCTTACTTTGCTTTCCATTACTGGTGACGTTTGTGAGCTACCACCAAGAGCAGCTGCAGCAGATTCCACATGAGTTAGAAGATACTCGTAAATCTTCTTTCTTATTCTGTCGATTGTTTCTGCTGAGACACGAGGTGTTTCTTCATCCTTGGAAGACCCAATTTCATCCAACCAGTCATTCACACTCTTGAGCTGACTTAACATGCCAGCTATTTGACCGTTATCTGATAAAGCTGAGGTGTCCACATCAGCATCCAAGAACCTTTCCACGAAACCTAAGAACCAATCCTGAGACTCCAACCTCAACATTTTTGCCAAGTCCACAGACTCATCGAGACCATCTCCTTTAACCCAATCAATCAGGGGTGAAGTTTTTGTGTTGTGACCAACAGCTAATCCACCACTTGCCCGACTTGGATTTCCAGAAGAGTGATTCTTGGAGCTTGCTGACTGTCGATGTTTGGTCAGGGTTTTTGGAGCTGTGCTTTTAGTAGAGTTCTCAAGAGCTAAAACGGGTTGATTAATCGGAATTACTTTTGGGCTTGGAGCCAGAGTTGATGCTGCAGCCAGGCTTGAGGTATCCGGTTTGCCATATAGTGTGAAGGATGACAAATTTGTAGCCAATGCTGCATGAACCCAAGAAGCTGCGCGTTTACACCTGTCTAATGTGACCTTTTGCACTTCTTCAGATGGATCTTCATTTTGTGAAGAGTCAGAACTAATAGTTTTCGATAAAGAATCAGCAACAATACAAGCACTATTCAAGCTTGCATGCAGGGCCAAGAACTGCTCGACAGTGGGCTGTGGGTTATCTTCCTTAGCAGACAAACTCAACTCAGCATATGTGCTGTTCCACAAAAAGAGAATGTATCAGTGGAGAACCAAATGAAATAAGCTTAGAAGTGTTATTTTGACCAATCCAAGGTGAAAATGGAGAATTCTTGGTCAGCCAGTTTCCCAATGAAGATATACTTTTCAGAACATGACGTGTATATAAGTAAGGAAATAGTAAGGGAGGGCTGAAACCAGGTTCCGAGGACAAAATAAAGTGATTTTAGCTGAACTTCAGCTAGGAACTACAGGAAAAGTAGAAAACCATATTAACTCAAAGCTGGATTAAATCTGGTTTCAGTATGAGGTGGTCAATATTTGGTAGAATTTTCTACTAACTATTTCTTCACAAGTGTGTCACAAAGAATAATGAAAAGGGGAGAGAGAGATCATAAAACCTGTGTATCGACAATATGTTAGCATTTTAGTATTACCAGTAAAAGTTGAATGTAATCTAAGTTAGAGAAACTTCTGCTCTGAAATTGGATCAATATAACTTCCAAATAAGCACAAACAAGTTTGACTTGAACTGAATTGCACATTGAGTTTCCCAAACAGGTAACTACAAATAAATGACAAACTTTAATTCAGACCTTTTATTAATAAGGTTGTTATTTCAAGGTCTGACTACTCAAATAGCTCAGTTTATTTTTCCAACAATGTCAAAACTAACTAGTCATCCAAGAGTGTTATAGATCCCAATCTGGTTCACATAGTTGCAACTATGTCATTTGTTAGTCTAGAAGGTTCAATAGTTATTTAGTTAGCAGGGTAAAAGTGTAATAGTCTTGTAGTAGGAAATGCAAATAAATATGGAGGGAAAGGGGGCTAGGAATGGCATTCAAGTACTGATTTTCTGTTAGGAAAAGGAAGAGACCCGGCCTCTCTAATGACCCTGGAATTTGTCCTTTGCTTGAGTTCAATTAAATCCAGCAAAAGATCAAGAATTAGATTTTTTTTCTCTATGAAGCAATTAGAGTAAAAACAACTTTAGAACGAAAATTCACTTTTCTCAGGAAGGAAAAGAAAAAATAAAGAAAAGAAGTAAAATTTTCAACCTTTTATATGGAAAAAATAATTTTCAACCTTTTATACCAGCGAATCCAGGGGGAAAAAAAAGGGAAGTAAATATTTGTCAAACAAATCCAAAAAAAAAAAAAGAAAAATCCTAGTTCTCAAAATTAAGCACATATGAGGAGGAGTTATTCCGAGATTCAGTTTAGCTGAAATGTTGATCACGAAGGTCTTGTTATGTTATTTCTTCTTCCTCGCTTTATTTCTTGCTACCATTGAAAATTGAAAATTAGAATCTTAATTTTATTTTTTTGTGAAATGTTCGATTACACACATTTTTTTGTTGACTCAAATATCCAAGTTTCGCCCGACTAATCTTGAGAAGTTACCTTCCTCCCGGTTTGCCATTTGGGCAAATCAGATGCAGTCACAACTTATACACACTTGAATTGGACATTCGGAAAGCAATCCTCCTCCATGTGGACCCCCATTTACGACGTGCGGGTGGGACCCCCGGAGGGGTGACAGAGCACACCATAACTTTCTCTCCACAAGATATCTGCCTTCCAACGTGAATATTGCCTTCCAGCCACGAGACTTTTAACATTTGATACTTCATAAAGAAACCTCCTACTTTACCATTACGCTATGCCCATGGAGCTCGATTACAAATATTTTAGATGTATACAGTTCATTATAAGTATAATTTTGAATTTTTATAATTCTAAAATATTATAATATTTTCTTTTACGTTTTTAAACCTCAAATTGCCTGGTGCTTGCACATCACCCCACAGAGGCAATGAAACGCCATTCACCCTTTTACCCTTTTCAAAAACTGCTCAAAATCTCAATAATCAATGTTAGCATAACTACTTGGAGGCTAGTTACCCCAAAATTGATAAAATTACCTATGAAGTTCAGATAAACCATTCAATCATAAATCACCAACCTACGAAAAATGTTTTCTGAGGTCTATGACATGAAAGGAAAACTTCTTTCTACCAGCAACTACGAGTTTAAACAAGAACATGAACGAAACTCAACATAAGCTAGTCATCTGTTCAGGGCCAACATATGTGAGAGGTCATTTTACAAACTACTAGAGGAAATAGATGTTAAAGATTTATCTCCATTATCCCATGAATCATGATATTATTATATCTTCCATATTTCCGGAGATTATTTCCATACTACTTCGATCATGTAATCAGTATGGGATCTTTCCATTGGCTAGTTTGTAAATAAATCATGGACAGGTATACAATTTTTATGTTAATCGATGTCTCAAATTATATTCAGTTTATTATTTTATCAACAAGAAACTCGCCGCCAACACATGCAGCTGTCTAACTGACGAAATGTCCAACATGCTACTTCAGACTGACAAAAGAACCTTCATCAGCCTTAAGGAAATATATACGGTCTTAGCAAGTGATATCATATTGTAGTTACCCAACATTTGTTAGCATTTTTCTACTCCAATTTGCTGTGCCGCATACCAAAACAGGAAAAAAAATAAGAAGAGGCACACAAGGTTTAAGCAGTCGGGAACTATGCAAAAGATTTTCAACAGCTGAAATGCGTACAGATATCTAAGATGCCTATCAGTAGTCAAGTCACATTTTTCTTTCATTTTGCAGCACTGTACAGCCTTGTTTGGGCTCCATTAAAATTAAATTATGGGGAAAAATAAATTTTGGAATAGTAATTTTTTGAAGAATGTGTGGTTAAAAATGAAGGAAAAGTTTTGGATTTATGCGTAATATTAGATGAGAGAAAAAGATGCATTTTGAATAAAATGAAGCCCAAATAAGGGAAATATATACATTCAGGAGAAGGATGGGTAAGGGGGAATTTTATTTTTTATTTTTTATTTTTTTTAACTACCGCAGGTGTCCGGGCCAACTTACAAACACCTCGACTAACCCCACGGGATTTTGAAGTTTACAATCGGGTACTCACCTCAGTGACCCTGAGGGGACTCGAACTGATGACCATTGGGGTGCAAACCCATAACCTGACTACTGAGCTACCCCTCAGGGTTGGTGAAGGGGGGATTTAATCTCTCTGTTTTCTTTAGTAGTGATGCAGAAATGTTTCACGAATCCTTGCTCATTGTGTAAATATAACTCGTTCAACTTAAGATACAGAGTTCAGGATGAGATCTGGACTGTTTGCAAGTGGGACGAAACCATAAATGTTTGTCCGTCTCGTGGTGTCTTTCACACACGCACACACATGTTCATGTTTACATTTTTGGCTGCCTTTAACTATCAAATTATGTCTTCTAATGAATTAAGAATTCACCTATATTAGCAAAGATATAGTAGACAACAATCCATGGTATATGAATGCAGCTTCAAAGATCCAAGGGAACTTTTCCTTTGTTAGATAACAGCTAAGACGAAACTTCAAATAGTTGTAACCTCAGCAAGTGCAGAAGAATCATGGTTAATCTGGTGAACAGTTTCAACCACTTGCTTTTCCTTGGAAATTGGACTTTGACCAATGGACTCAGTTTTGGACATTTTGCAACTTGATTTGGTCGTGCCAGCTAAATTAAAATATAGGATATGCTAGATTGGAGGAAGTGAAATGGCAGCATAGAAGGAAAAGGTTCTTAAGAAAAATAAAGTCTCATAATGGGAACTCTCCTTCCTACATGAAAAATCAACAAAACAATAGAGGTTATATGAAAACTGGAATATGCATTTTTCATCTGAGTTCATTAGCCTACAAAATGCTGCCAACTATTTAGGACCAGTTGATAACCAGTAGTGAGGCTCTAAAATTATTTCAATTAAAGGAAATCGAAAAATCCTCGACATTTCGTTCTCAAGAAAATACCTTAGACATTGAAGTAAACTTTCTGCGGCAGAAGCCTCCTGCATTGCTTCCATGGCAGCCATTTGTGCAGCATCTCTATGCTTCAATACGTCCTGTATGGGAAGGAAGCTCTTGCAATCAGAAATCTCAAGCTCATATCCAGATAAGTTAATGTATCAAATATAACAAGCAAAGCATAGTAAATCAAATAATAAATGCAATAAGCCAACAAGAATGACATCAAGATGAAATATTACTTGCAATAAAGGAAGGTTCTCACTAAAGAAACTCCAGCTTTCTTTACTGTTATTTCAACATGTAAATCACCAGGCAATATTAATTCAGAAACACTTGCATATTATTTAGAAGGTAGCATTAGTATTGGTCATATTTTCACTGAAAGAACGAAAAGAGTAATTCATGTTTAACTATCCCCGATTAGATTTGTCTGTTGTTTAAGCAGCAAATTTTTCAACAGGGGAGTTCAGCTATCAGAAATTCTAAACAAATAAAAAAATGGATCTATGAGTCAACGAGATGGGATGAGGCTCCAAGGTTACCAACAAGGTGGGCGAAAAGAAATTGAATAGAAAGCGGTGTACCTTCCCAAGCTTTACAATTGATGACGGGAGTGATGCACATGAAAAAGTTCCATCTGTTAATTTACTTTTACTGAGAGAAACCTTGACTAAATTGCCAGGGAACCCATGATTAGCAGACTCTCCAGACTTCTTCCCAGGCGAAACTCTCTGTGCAGTTGGTTTATTATCAGCCAAATCTGCATTTGTCGAAGCTTTCTTCACAGATGCATTGACCTTATTTTCTTCCCGGGATGATTTTGAAGACTCAACCTTATTCTCTTCTTTAGATGGCAACCTTTCGCTTGTCGATTTCCTTGGTACCTGCAGAATGTATCGAAATAGAGTGGAGATGCCAGAATTATTATTCAAAAACTTCAAATTTCAGTTGGCATTACATAATACTCTTCCAAAAAAAAAATGGAAAAAATAAAATAAAAGCAGCTGCCAAGATTAACAGCACCTCACTAGATAATTCAACAAAAAGTATTAACATGTGTAAACTAGATCAATGTATAATAGTAATATCTCTAAACTGCAAGCCAGTCAATTTTCCACTGAATGGGATGGAAAGCCAAAAACAGACTACACAGTTTAGACAAAACCTTCAAAAATATTTAATTGATTTCATCATACCAGTGTACCATCATAAACAGCTCTCTAAATTTTTATATCTAAATACAACTGAACTAAAAGCATAGACGCAAATTGCAATTCTTTCGTTCTCATTTTTCTTCCGGTTAAGTAAGGCCCTAGCATTTAATTGACAAATTATTAACAAACGATGAAAGAACAAAAAAACTTACAGAAGTACTCCGCGCTTCCGGCTTCTGGGCATGCTTATTGACCTTCAATCTGGGACTTTCCCTACCCTTGACATCCATATTCCCTTCCCAACTCTTTCTCAGAGCCTTTGGCCCCAATTCAAGACCTTGAACAATATTCTTCATCACACTCCCACCCAGCACCTTCTTTGTGGTCGGACTTGCCCCACGAACAGAAATTGCCCTTTCCCCTGACCCCAATTTAGCAGTTGCCTTCTCCAACCTCTCCAGTCCCTTGATCTTCCCCTGCTGTTTAATCCCATTTGCAAACTTCTCAAAAGAAGTAGGCAATGAATAACAGCTCGTTGGCGACGAGGGTATAGACCTTGAACCTGAAGAATTCAATTTTCCTACAGATTCCTTCTTCTCATCCGAAGTTATATATAGCTTTGACAACTGAGACTTGGATCGAGTCAATCCAGGCATCTTCTTATCAACTTTATCTTCTTTAGCACTACGATTCAATTTCAAAAGCACAGATTTAACCTCTTTTGCCTCAGTATTGTTCAACAACTTTGAAGGCGACTTGTCTTTGTGAATCAATTTCGACCCCAAAGATGAATTACCATTGCTATTGAGGAATCCTAGAGAATGAGTTGCAACTATATCTTCAGGAGTTCCAATGCAGGGGTGTCGACCCGGAACGAGCCTAACCCCTCTAAGAATAGGTACAGGTGAGGCAGCCTCTAGCCTCTCAACATGTATGAACTGACCTAATTGGATTTTATCACTAAAAATTAGATCATCATGTTCATCAGGAAGAGATACATAAGTAGCATGAGAGGAATCAGATATCTTTAGGTAAAACCCTTTATTTGGAAAGAGTTCACCCCCTGCTAGTGCAGGAACAATGCTAACCACTTGCAATAGAGATGATCTGTGCTCCCCAGCAACCTTCACATCTGTATTCATGTGCTGAAGTAGCTTTAAAAGAACCCCAGGAACCAAACTTGCCATTCTTTTGTGATTCTTTATGCATCACTTTGAGAAAACCCCAGATGCAAAATTTCAAGATTTTCTATCAGGAACTAGCAAATCTTGCAAAGAGTCATTAATTCTGTATTAATATAAATAGTAAGCACGAAAAATCTGTATAAATCACAGAAAAGCGGAGGAAAAAAAAATCAAAACGTCAATTTCTTGGGCTGCAAATGATTGTTTACGAAATGAGATAAACAACTCAAGTGAAAACTGACCCAATATCGTTTTATTACCAAAAGGGCATTGCCCAAAACAGAAAAGAATTCAATTTTCAAGAATCTGAATTGAAAGCTTGAAGATTGAACCCAAGAATCCACAAGAGGCAGGATCCAAAATGCACAAATTCTCTCTTGTAAGATCCAAAATAAAAAATAATACTAATAATTAAAAAAACATGGGGAAATAATTGATGGGTGCAGCTGGAGAAAAACCAAAGGGAAAGTAATCTGCAAGCATTGATTGCTCGGCTTAACTCAGAGTCCGATGAGTAAAAAGAAAACTTTTTTTTATGCAGTAAGCCAGTTACAACTTACAAGTCAGTGGGGAAGAAGTAAAATGAAATAAATAAATAAACAAGTGTCCGAAAATTGGGTCTTTCAACAGGGAAGGCTCCTGAAATGGATACAATTAGCAGAATATTTTTCTGGGAACAGACTATAATTGATTGCTGAGAGTGCAGAGAAAAATGGGGCTGGCCCCATCATAGCGTTTCACACCTTTTTTTCCTTCAAAATAAGATATCAAGTCGAGATTTTCTTTTCTTCAATGTCAAGGTAATAGTTGTAAATAAAAGTTGGTAGAAGAGTGGTTTCTAAATGAATCGATTTAGCGACATTACAACAAATGCATATTGTAAATTCAATTTTCACTACAGAATTGTCTGTTCAAATATTTACGATTAGCTGTTAAGTTTTTATATGAAATTAATTTTATAGCAAAAAAGCTCGATTTCGAAATTAAATAATGTAATAATAGATCATGCAAATAATTAATCTGACAGAAGAGTGAGAGGGGAGGCATATGTATGAGAATCTCGTAACAGAGGATTATACAAACTAATAATGTGTTCCGTTTTAATTGTTTTCATAAGATGGATGCTTTTTATCTATTCAGCCTCCAAAAAAATAAAAATCAAAAGTTAAAAATCAAAATCAATAATTAGTTTTGAAATTCACAATTTTTATTAATTTTTTAATCATACATTTTATCAACGTTTTTATCATAATATCTCCTAAAAATTCTAATTATTAGCAAAACTTAATCAGGGCTAAATATATTCACTTTGGCCCTTGGTGTATATTAAGGGAAATTGCAGTAGCAGTCCCTAACCTTTTTCATTTTTACAAATTTTACTATAACCTTCAATTTGTGTCACTGGAGGTTCCTAACCTTTCAAAAATATATAGTAGAGGTCCAATTGGATGGAAAATCATCTACTCTACCATTAGTTAACCTGAAAAATAAAAATTTGACTACTCTTTACCAAACTTAAAAGGGTAAAATGGTATATTTATATTTTTCTAAATATTATTAACAATTAGAACAACTAAACTAAAAATAAAAAACTAGAAAAAAAATTGAAAAGAAAAGAAATCTGCCCTACCTACCCACACCCACACCCACACCTACACCCACCCATCTTCATCATCTTCTTTTTCTCCTTGTCGGCGATGACCACATCACTGCCACGCGTTTTATCTAACGTGATTTAACCGCAAGCGTACGGTGTCAAGTTTTGTAGTATATTAAGGAATTGAAAAGTGTCGAACCCACAGGGATTGATATTCAACTTTCACTGAGTACTATAATTGTGTCCGCGTTTACTTTATTTAGACAATCGGATGTTAAATTGATGTTTGATTACTAAACTAATGTTGATGAATTGAATAATGCAAGGAAAGTGAGGCAATTTTCAAAAAGTAGATCAGAATTACATAATGTCTAGGGAGTGATTTCACCATATTATCGACATAATTCTCAACCCTTATAGATACTTCTATAAACTATTTCCCGAATTCATAGGCAAGAATCATAAATTAATTCTCTTTCCCTCTCTCGGGCATCAAATAGAACCTATCTCTATATTTTAATCTCAATATCTCTATTCCGAATTAAATATATAAAGATTATCAAGCACTTGGTTCTTGTTTTACCCTCAAAGATTCGCACTTTCTCTCGAAACCTACAAATCTAGGTTATATTGTTCTTAGATCACGCCTAAATCTTCCTCTCTCGAGCGTCAAATTTAGAGCATCAATTCATTCAATTGGTGATCAGGCAACTGAAAGCATTAAACAAGAACAATACAAATCAATTCTGGAAAAATAAACAGAAATACTATAAAGAAATTAAATTATGTCTCAAATAGGTTACATCAAACCCTAGATTAAAAGTTTAGTTCATGTTGGAGAAGAAAAACGCAATGAAATACAAACTAGAGTGCATGGAGAAGAGAAAGATAGGGAAAAACTCAGTTTGCTGCTTGATTTCTCAGTTTTCTGCTTGATTTCTTTTCCAAATTGGGTCAATCTTCTCTCAATTGGTGCTTCTTTTTCTCTTTCCTCTTCAGTCGTCTAACCCCCTCCTTTAGGTCTTCATCTTAGTATTTATATTTTCTAGGAGTCCTCAATGGTGAGAGTACGATTTTTGGGCTGAGAAATAATTAAAATTTCGGATTTTGTGTGTTTTGGGATCCGGCGTCGCGGCGCCCAAGTCTCGCGCCGTGGTGCTAGTGCTTCTGTTGTGCTTCCTCTCGTTGGCGCCTAGGTCGCCTGACCCACTGCTGGATCTTGATTTCACGGCGCCCATTTTTGGTGCCAGTGCCACTGCCTTGCAGCACTCCCATTTATTTTTCAAGCCTATGTTCCATTCCAGTCTTCTTCACTACTTGCTTATTCATGCTCCATTTCAATGATCATCATTTTTGCTCATAACAGGCTCCCAATTGTGGTATTTTCTCGAGAGTTGTCCAAATTGCAAAATAACACGAACACACACATCAAAACGTTCAAAAGTGCCCAAGAACAAATAAAAAAAGTGATTTAGAAACTTTAGTTTAATGAGTGGATTACACTCATCAACCACCACTCTCTTCTCTCTCCCTAGCCCACTGCATCTTCTCCTCCACCTACATTTGCAGTTGTAGAAATTCATAAAATCAAATTTGGAGTGATAATTTTCCAATTCTTTGCCAAATCCAATTTTGTAGGAATCTAAAAATCAAATCTAGAGTGAATACTAAATTTTGCTGATTCTAAAAACTTGGTTTTTCTTTGAGTCCCTTCAAAAACTACAGTATTTGGTACCCATTTTTGCTAGTGCAAATGAGGGGTCTACACTCTACAGTAATATTACGTATACAATGGAGGACAAAAATAATGTCGAAAAGTTCTGTGAGTGCTGGTGAAAGTCTAGGTTCTATTGGATCTCCGTCACTCATCGAAGCTTCGGAGCAGGGTACGATGGAGGTGGTGGAGACTACGAACAAGGGCCTTTATGTGGACCCCCTTGTTAAGGTTGGGAGGGAACTTGCATTTGCGGTTGGGCTGGTAGGAAGTGAGTTGGGGAGTTCAATGGTGGTTTTTTTGGGGTGGGTAGAGGACACTGAGGCAAGAGGCGGATATCATATCGATGAACATTTTCCTACTATGGCTTGGTGGGGGTGGAGTTTTTGGTTTTAACTGTAGGTTTGATGGTGGTAGTGGTGGTGGCAGCGGCGACATTTGGTTTTGGTTCGTAGAGACGATGGGGGGTAGTGGTTGTAGTGACGACGATGGTGAGTTGATTTCTAGCTTTAGTTGGGGTACGTGGGAATGGGGTGGGGTTGGTGAAGGAGGTGAATAGTGTTTGTCATTTTGTTTCTTTTCTTTTCTATTTCTTTCATTTTTTTTATTTTTTATGAAAGAAAAATGTAAAGTTACCTTTTTGTCCTTTTAAAATCAATAAAAATTGGAGTCAAAGTCAATTCTTTGGTCAACTAACGGTAGAATAGATAGTTTCCATCTAGTTGGACCTCTAATGCATATTTTTGAAAGGTTAGAGACCTTCAATGGCGCAAATTGAAGGTTAAGTTAAAGTTCGCAAAAATGGAAAAGGTTAGGGACCACTGCTACAATTTCCCCTAATATTAATTGTAGCCTCCAAAGTTAGCCCAATACATTTTTAATTTTATATTTATTTAAATGTTAATTCGAAATTATGTTAGAGAATTGTAATGAGAAAGTTCCTTGAGACGTGAATTCTTTTCCAGTGGCACTTGATTTGCAGACAAATTTATTTATTTATTTATTTTTATTTTTCTCTTTTTAACCTATCAATGATCTGTTTCACGTGGAATCTTAGCAACATTTTTGTGAAAATTTCCCTTTACCTATTGTATTTTTCTTGTTTATGGTACTGTGATTTGAATCACTCATTTTTATGTACAATCTTTTCATTTGTGGTGAAAGCTAAGCTTTTAGATTTTATTCCTTTATGAGACTGGCTGTCATTCTCACCCATTATCATGAAATGACAATGTCATTTTCCTACATCTTTAGGTATGCAACCTATAGTCCTATACATGACATAGAAGTACTATCCATTTGGTACGAATTAATATCTGATTTTGCCTTCGTTTGGCCCCCATTAATTTCCATTCTATTATATTTCATTTTTCTCTCTCATATTTTCAACCACAATCTTCCATAAAATAATATTGCACGTAAACCAAAAACTTTTCATTCTCTTTCAACCACTCATTTTTCTAAAAAATACTATTCTACTCATTTTCATTTCTTCAAAATGGGGGCCAAACGGGAGCTAATTTAAATCAAAGTCAAATATTCAATTTTCATCACACCTTTTTATAAGTTTCACAACTTTTCAACTATACATTTCATAAACTTCTACCACAATCTATTGAAAAAACTAATTTTAATCCCTCTCCAAATACCCTCTTGCTTAAGAAAGTAGAATGCCGTGATTTGCAATAAACCCATACTATAGGGGCCAAACCTACATACAAATATATTTTATTTAACACGTTATGTAACGCGAGTAGAATTCTTAAATTTAGACTTTCAATAAAAATTTCGTTCTCTCATTGTTCCTTGAGCTACATCTCTCTCCTTGCACTAATTTTTTGATCAATGCACGAGGTCGACATCAGTATTAACTCTTAAAGTGGTGAATCCCAATTTCCCGTCCATCGCCCACTCATTAATACATTATTTGGAATTGGATAATACATTATTTGGAATTGGATGGTGACTATGTGTATATTATTGTAGGAGCGTTAAGTGGGTCAACTGAGCATGAGCACGAGTTGACTCGCTTCAAAAACCTCAACTTCACTAACCTAGGTAAGGCGAGTCACTTGGATTTGCACAGTTTTTTAATTAAATATTTAGTACCCCCGCACCCCCACCCCCACCCCCACCCACTAGATAAGTTGGTGTGAGCCGGTGAATTGAAGTGACTTGCATAGAATAAGCCCTCGTTTGGCCCCCTTTAAAACTCTTCAGTTTAACTTAAATTTCTTTCTTCTTTTCAATCATGCAATTTTTAATAAAATAATATTACACATAAATTAAAAAAAATTTCATTCTTTCACAATTATCTATTTTTGAAAAAAAAATTATTTTCTTATTATAAATTCAAATAATGAGGGTCAAACGGGACTAAATTAGCATGTCTTGTTTTTAGCGTCGAACGACTCACTCCATCCCGACCACATGTGCAAAGAATGACTCTGTCGGTTACAGTGAACATAGGA